CCGAGGAGCGCACCTACCTCCAAGCAAAAGGGGGTTGCTTCCGTTGTCGCCAATTGGGGCACCAACAAACCAACTGCCCCAACGCCGCACGATTCACCCGCCAGTCCACCTCCACTTGACCCGCAACCTCCGCATCACCGCCCTCGGCAAGCGCGGGCCCCTCCTCATCATGAACACAGTCCCCAGGACATTGACCCGACATCGACATCGCGTGTGTCAGCCCAACCATTGGTGACGTCCTCCGTCCCACCGATGGCCCATCTGGCATCGACAATTCGTTTGCCTCCCCCCTCTCTGGCGACACTCCCTCCACCAGACAACTCCCAGGCGTCACAAACGCCTCCCACTGCCTCTGCTCCTCTACCCTTCTTCCAAATCCATCCACTATCACCTTCTCCGATGTTGTTGAGGAACAAGCCCAACACGATCGGCTTGTGCACTTAGGCAACGAACAACGCCGCCTCAACACCATCATCTCCACCACCAACTCATCCCGTTTCCACCTCAAATTCATTATTGCCACCCTCGGTGCGTCTACAACTAAGTTTCAGGCCCTCCTCGACATTGGAGCCACCGGTAACTTCATCACTGATGCGTGTGTCCGCAAAGCCGGTCTCACCTCTACCGGTTATGACTCCCCGATCACGATTCGCCTAGGGGACAAAGACACTGCCGTCGTAGTAGACCGCACGGTTCCCGATACCACCATGACCGTCGGAACCCTCCGCAGTCAGGTCTCGTTTGATGTCATGCATCGTCTTAGGAACCCCGTGGCTGGACCGCTACATGCCATACGCATTCCACCCCAACTTCCTTCGCCTCACCAACCCCCCCGACACAACCATCGACATCCCCTATCTCCAATATCCGACCTCCCAAGGCTCTGTCACCCCGTACCAATTCCTCCACATTGCTCGCCTAAACCCCGACTCCGCCTACTACTGTCTTGTCCTCGATCGCGAAAGTCCCAAGGACTTACTCCCGACGGACAAACCCGATCAAGCCCCCCCCTCCAATCCCGCCATCACTTCAATCCTCGAAGAGTTCAGGGACGTCTTTCCCGAGTCCTTACCCACCGGACTACCTCCGGATCGTGGCGTATCGCATACCATCGACTTGGAACCCGGACATTCTCCACCTTGCCACCCTCCATACCAACTCTCTGTCCCCGAAGCCGAAGAAATGAAGCTGCAACTCGGTGAACTCCTTGAAAAAGGATTCATTAAGCCAAGTTCATCCCCCTTCATAACCAGCTGCCTTTTTGTCAAGAAAGGTGGAACTTCAGAACTCCGCATGTGCATAAACTACCGCGCCTTCAATCGGATCACGATCAAGAACAAGTACCCCCTACCTCGGATTTCCGAGCTTCGAGTCCTTGATCGTTTCCGTGGAGCCAAGTACTTTACCAAGATCGACCTTCGTAGTGGCTTCCACCAGATCCGTATCCGCGAGGAGGACACCCACAAGACCGCCTTCCGCTCCCGGTTTCGGCACTACGAGTTCCTCGTGATGCCATTCGGACTCACCACTGCCCCCGCTACCTTCCAACCCACTATGAGCCACATCTTCCGCAACCTTCTCGAAGTCTGTGCCGTCGTCTACCTTGATGACATCCTTGTCTTCAGCCCCACCTTCGAGTCCCACCTTCAGCACCTTCGCCAAGTCCTCGCGATCCTCCGAGAGCAAAAAATCTACGCCAAGCTCAACAAATGCACGTTTGCCGCTTCGAGCGTCGAATACCTCGGCCACATTGTCTCCGCTGAAGGCATCCGTATGGACCCCTCGAAGGTCACAGCCCTCGTCGAGTAACCCCCACCCAAGACCCTCCTCCAACTCCGTTCCTTCCTYGGCCTTGCCAACTATTACCGCCCATTCATTCGCAACTTTTTCGAGATCTCTTACCCTCTCCACGAACTCACCCGCAAGGACGAGCCCTTCCATTGGAACGATCGCCGCCAACACGCCTTCGACTTACTCAAGCAAACCATCACCACGACCCCTATCCTCAAGATCGCCGATCCCACTCGCCATTTCTATGTCACCACTGACGCCTCCGACTTCGCCATCGGAGCCGTACTGTCCCAACATTTGCCCCGCGACACCGCCAAGACCCCCTCCATCAAGGACTCGCCCACTCACCCCGAGGCTCCACCTGGCGAATACCCTATCGCCTTCGCAAGAAAGAAGCTCCTTCCCGCGGAGATGAATTACTCCTCCAACGAGAAGGAACTCCTCGCCGTGATTCACGTCCTCACAGTCTGGCGCCCGTACCTCGACGGGCAATACTTCACCATCCGCACYGACAACACCATCGTCTCCTCCATCCTCTCCAAGAAAGATATCACTCCACRCCAAGCCCGCTGGCTAGACTTCCTTGCCCAGTTCACATTCACCATTTGCCATACCCCCGACAAAAGCAACCGCGTTGCGGATGCCCTCTCTCGACGACCCGACCACAAGCCCCCCGMGAAAGTCTACGCCACCATGACTCATATTCAACTCCTTCCATCGCTTCATCATCGATACACCCAACGCTATCTCTCCTGCTCAGACTTCGCCACCATTTACAACAAGCTCAGCGATCTAAACCCAGTTCCCGACAACTCCGTCCACAACAATCTCCTCTACATCGATACCAAAGGCACTCGCCGACTTTGCATCCCCGACGCACGAGGCGTCCGTACTCATCTCTTGGCCGAGCACCACGACGCCAAGACCACAGGACATCTCGGTTTCCAAAAGACCTTCGACACCATCTCCCGCTACTTCTATTGGCCTTCCCTACTCGCCGGCGTTAAGGCATACATTGGCTCCTGCCCCACGTGTCAAGCTGTCAACCCCTCGAACCGGGCCAAACCCGGCAAGCTCCAATCATTGCCCATCCCAACTCACAGGTGGCAGTCCATCTCCATGGACTTCGTGTGCAGCCTCCCCACGACCGACCGCGGACATGATTGCATCTACGTCATTGTCCGTCGCTTGACCAAACGTGCCCACTTCGTCTCTTGCACGACCTCGCACAGTGCCAAAAACGTCGCCACACTCTTCTTCGACCATGTTGCTCGCCATCACGGCCTCCCCGAGAACATCATCAATGACCGTGATCCTCGCTTCCTCTCACAATTCTGGAAACACCTCTTCACGACCTATGGAACCACGATGAAGTATAACACTGCATTTCACCCACAGACCGATGGACAAACAGAGAAGATGAACGATACACTCCAAAGAATCCTGCGAAAGTATTGTCATCCACACCAACACGATTGAGATCAGTTGCTCACAGCCGCCGAGATTGCCTACAACAACGCTGTCTGCCCCTGCACTGGCATGTCCCCTTTCTACCTTGACCTTGGCTACCATCCCCGCTTACCCTTGGATTTCTTGCTTCCCTTGCAGCTCAGCCCCTCCACCCCTTGCCCCTCTCTCAATGAATGGATAGCAACAATGAACAGACTCCTCAGAGAAGCAACCGAAGCCCTTGAAAGAACACAAGAACAACAAGCCAACAAGACTAACAAACACAGACGTGACGTGTCATTCAAAGTAGGGGACAAAGTCTGGCTTTCTGCCAAACGCTTTGAGCCCGAACAAGGCTTGTCCAAGAAACTCTCGAACAAGTGGCTCGGTCCCTTCCCCATCATTGAACAAACCTCCTCCGTCAACTACAAACTCCAACTTCCCCCTGACATGAATCGTGTCCACCCAGTCTTCCATGTCGAGTACCTAAAAGAATACCATGAATCCCCGCTCCAGTTCGCCGACCGCCCATATCCTAGACCTCCACCAATTATGATACCCACAGGCTATGTAACACCCGCGGACGTGTCCGCGGGTCCAATCTTGGATGGCGGACGCAGACGGGTCCGCGTCCGCAGACGACCTGGTCCGCGTCGCGGACCCGATTTTACAAGAATTTTTCTGAATTAAATAATAGGTTTAAAAAAAATATATATATGGGGTTGTAGGGAATTTTAAGCCTACAACCCCATATTTTTGTTTTTGGAATCCGACTTTGTTTCGTATTTTTAAAAAATGAAAAACTAAATTCGATTTAAAAATATATATAAACTCCGACGAAACAGTTTGTCACAGCCCCTCGTTTGTTGTCCTCTTCGCTCTCTCTGCCTACAGTTTACCGGACAGTTCTGTTTTTGACGATATATATATATAATCGGTGAAACTCCGACGAAACAGTTTGTCACAGCCCCTCGTTTGTTGTCCTCTTCTCCCTCTCTGCCTACGGTTTACCGGGCAGTTCTATTTGACGACATATATATATACATCGTCACAAACAAATATATATAAAGAAAAGTTGGATATTTTTTTGTCATTTTTTATCATGAGATATATG